AATCTGCCCTATAATTATGCGAATTCTTTGCTCCTTGTAGCAAAATATGCTACATTTGGTACAATATGCTAGATTTGCTACTTTAAGCGACAAGGACCAAAATATGCGAAAATACGCGCAAGCATATTCGGGCCCTCACTAGCGACAGATGCTGTGAAAAATTTCATCGGCGTTTTAATTTAGGCGTTTTGGGTCGGTGCCGAATATAGCCGAAATTAAATAGCTGCCGAAAATTTGTCTATTTGCAGTACACTGACACTCTCTTTCGTTCGACGCCACAAATGATCTCCTGCTTGACTGGCCATGGCTGCCAGTAAGACGTTTCAGTAGTGCGCGGGATGACAGCAGAAACCGGAGAACGAGAAAAGTTCAGCACAGTTCCAAACTGACGAGTCAGATACGCTGACACTCTCTTTCGTTCGACGCCACAAGGATACCCTGTTTGACTGAACAAGAGCTGCCTGTACCACCATGTCAAAACTACAAACAAAATGCTGTCCAACTACAATCTACATGGCAGGACGACCAACCAACTCAGGGCTCGTTTCCTTGTCCAGCGGCAAGCGAAAATCAGAACTCCTATCTCTCAGGTGCTGGTGAAAACTCAGCAGGAAAACACTGCACGATGACTTGAGAGCGAAGGAGAAACTTCTTGAAGAAAAACAAAATTTGAAGTCGCGATCTTGCACCAACGCGCCCCAGTCGAAGTGATGTCGTGACCGTTACCTTGGAAACACAACAAGTGCAGGTGACGCGAGTTTTGTTTGTCACCACTTGGCCTTGTAACCATGGTAACTACGTGTAACTGTAACTACGAGTTTTCAGGCAGCGTGACGTAGGCACTTCGACAGCCTATTAGTACCGGATTACCAGCACAGCATGCAACAGAATTACGAATTTCAGCACAATTTTCAACTTCACCAGGTCAAGGGCGTAGGAAGCAGATTTCCAATGGTCCGGCAGATTTTTATCTCGTGCAGGTCGCGATTTTTTTAAAATCCGCCCAGTATGACTACTACAGTATTCACTTTGTCTTGAGAGTTAGACATGGGGAAGTTGCCATATAGGGGTGGTCAGCCTGCCTTTCGCGGCACCGGGAATACAGCTTGCTCGACTGATCTGAGTGAAGACTCTTCACTGAAGAGGGCGATTTTTACTTGTAAAAGGATTGATATGAACAAATACTGTGGTATCATGGAAGACTTGAGGTTATACTACTGTAGTATACTCCTGAAGTGCATGCAGAAGCAAGCATATGTACTACATGTATTAGAATTGGGGGGGGGGGGGCAAAGACTACAGACACTTTGTGTATTTGAATTGACAAAATTCCACTTGAAACTGTCCGAATTGGGAGAGCTGATGCTCACTTCCACGTACAAATTCCCTTGCCGAACTCTTCAGGCACTAGCCGTCCAGCAGTTTTATTTTTATTATTATTATTAAATTTTTGATAGGGCAATCCCCACAGGCCTAAGGCCTTTTGACAGGGTACCCTATTCTTGTGGACATTCAGGAACATCAGGTGATTGAGCATTTCCTGGCGGGTTGTACTGCGTAAGCAGGACTTGACCCTCTGCATGGTTGAAAACGAGCTTGCTACCGTTTTTTTTTTTTTTTTTTGGCGAAACATTGGTCCGGCGGCTGCCGGACCTGCCGGACCTGTTCCTACGCCCCTGCAGGTCATAACTTTAGTCTCCTTCGCTTGATTCCCACAATCTAGGGCTCGTTGCGTTGGAAAGCTCTTGACGAGAGCAACGCCAGGACACCAAGCTCCATTATCCAGCCGCCACAAATCAGGCGCGGTAACGCAGCAAAGACGTCTCAAAGCCTGATATGCAAGCAAATTCGTCCCATCAACGCCATTCCACTCTCCTTCATCGCAGAACGATCAAATTTTTCGAGGTGATTCAAACGTCAGCCAACTACGTCATTATCATGTGCTCAGTCCCTCAAAGAGCACGCGAAAAGGGATTTTTCCTCCCAAATGGCGAAGAGATCGATCAAACATTTGAATTTGTCGAGATAAAAATACGGTGCGCGATATCTCTGGCATCCAACATCGTAACTCTTCGGCGATTGTTGCATTGGACAGCTTGGAGTTTCCGCCACCACGTAGACCCTCCGATTGTGGAATTTGCACAAGCAACGGAGGAGTTACGAAGGTTTAAGTAATCGATCAGATATGATTGGTAGTCTGCAGGCCGGTAATACAGGGTTAAGAAGCTAGCACCATAGCGTAATACCGGTATACTGTTATTATAACTACTTATAACTACTTGGTAGAATAAAGAGAGTATACCTGTCTGGGAGTTTAGACTTTGGAGTTATGTATCTTTGTGTGTGTAATGAGCTAAAGTTTCTTTTTTAACTAAGGAATTTAGGAAGGAGAGGGCTTGAAAGCCCAGGAGCCCTTGATACTTTGTTTTTACCTAGGTCATCATATGTGTTATTCGGACTGATAGAAACGTCTTTGCAATACGATTGTCGTGCACATGTTTGTGCAAAAACATTTCTATCAGTTCGAATAACACACATGATAACCTAGGTAAAAATTAGGGGTGTGCACGGGTAGTCGGGTACCCGCGCGTACAGAATAGTACCCGAAAGCCCGAAGTCGCAGATGCTACCCTGTACAGTGCGCGAGTACAATTCATATAATATTCCGTGTGTCTACCCAAGGGAAGGGGTACATTGTGGTGTTACCATGGAAACATTACCCGATAGGGTACCTGTGCTACCTGTGGAAAACTACCCGAACCCGATACCCGAAGAAAGTGCTACCCGCCTCAGCCCTAGTAAAAATGAAGCATATCGAGGGCTCCTGGCTTTCAAGTCCTCTCATAGAATTTATAACAAAGAAATGTGGATTAACAGGAAACGTTAGTTTCGAAGCCTGAAGAAAATATTGAACGGTCGCTGTTTGAATGACGACTACATCATAGCATAGTGGTAGAGCATCACTGGCCACAAGCGAGGGTCCCTGGTTCAAGTTTTGGTGGTGACAGTCTGGTTCAAGTTCTGGTGGTGACAGTCATTTTTTCTTCAGACTTTTCCTGTTTGCATCTTTCCTTCAAACCAAAGAATTGTGTTGTAAAATAAGTACTTCCTCCGTATACAAAAACTTCGTGACTTTTTTTGAAGGCTGCGCACAGCTCTGGAACTGTTCCGTTTGACTTGGAATAACACTCGTGGCATTGTCTAAACTGTTTACAAGCCATATACAAAGAAAAAAGAAACTCAGACGAATGAGATTGAGTTTATTCAGAGTCTTCGTCGCTGATGTCATTGTCACCTGACGACGCAGACTTTGCATCGCCAACAGTTGCTGCTTCCGCTCGCATTTCGTTCAGATTATTCTCAGCTGCAGTGATGATCTGACGCGGGACTTTGGCTATGTCCTCTTCATCTCCAGAGCTGTGGACGAATCGGTGTCGACTATATTCAGTCGTTCCAACCCGCGACCTCCATTATGCTGTGAAACGAGTCACTCAAGCACATCCACACGCTTCGCATTTTCTCGTCAGGATAATCCTCCCAGCATTCTACAACGGCTTCGAGGGGGGTCCCTGCGATTCCCCTCGGCGACGACGGAGACGTCTTGCTGGAGAGAGGCGAAGAAAGCCAGGTCGCCGACATTCCGACAGGAGTCTGCGCTGGTTGCACGACGGCTGAAATGTTTCATCTTGCCGTGCGAGCGGAACCGATTTATGTTCTCACGCTGCGTATGGGGCCGCGCACCGCAAGTACGAGCGGCCAATGTTTCAGCCTAAATTCAGGGCAGCGAGTGCCGCGTGACTCCGTGTTCCAGCCGCGAGCTCCACTTCGTCACGGAGTCAGTTTCGAGCAAGTAAGTGTTAGTTTTGTTTTCATTTGACTCGTGAGTTCCTGTCGGCAACGTCCTCACACGCATGGCTTCCGTTGAGAATCTATTCGGGATCAACCAAACCTACCTCAACATGAATGTGGGTTGTCGATGACATCCTTTGGTGCGGTTCGTTGAGCAGGTTCTTGCTCAAAAACACCGTTGAAAAAAAGTCACTAAGTTTTTGTATACGGAGGAAGTAAAGGCAAATTTAAAACTATTGTCCCCTCGTCGCTTATTCATTTATAAAAACAAAGCCGAGTCATTCATCCTATGTCTATCCACCTCCCATACAAACTGACACACAAACACCTTCCGTTGGATCATCTTCCTCTATTTGACTCTTTCTGGACGTTGTCTATTTCGGGTACAGGATTGGGAGAACTTCAAATTCCAAAGGATCAGTCGGGGAAGTGAACTGCCTGGAAAGAGAAAATATGCCAGACCCACCAGGACTCGAACCCGGGAACTTGCTTGTCATGAGCAATGCTCTAACCATCTGAGCTATGGGACCAAGCCGAACCTCGAGTGCGTAAACTCTGGTGGGAGAATAAGAAATTCCGCTCTCTTTTCAGAATAGACGGAAAGTCGATTCCGTTGATTCAAATTCCGTCGATTCTGGTGACGGAATTTGCGTAATGGAATGGTGTATGCACAGAAACAAATTCTAGAAATGGACGAAATTGTGTGTAATCGAACGCGCCCAATGCCTTCTTCTGTTGGGTACAATTCTATCTTTAGAGAATATTGGCGGCCTGATTTCAGGCTAGTCCAAGTAATCTGGAAACCTTCCTGATACCACAAAAGCTACCTACCTCGAACACTGACGAATTCCATTCCTTGTTTGTTGCTGTACCGTGGAGTTGTGTGCATCAAGCGCAAGAAACTGAATGCTATCCATGGAGAAATGTTGGCTACCATGTAAAGCAGCAGCAGCAAATTCAGCACTTGCTGGTGGTCTCAAAGAACTTGACGATAAAGGATCTCTTATAACAGGACCAATGCTGGACGATATTCCCGTATCTGTTGGCGGCCATAAGAAGTGAAATTCCCCGACACCAGCATAACACAGGCTAACAGGCTTAGCTTGTTCGGGCTGCTGCCGCTGGCTTGACTCGTGTGGCTTGACAGAAGCAGATACGATAGTCTTGTGTACGCGGGCATGGTAGCCATGACGCAACGCGACAGGCGCGGCACATCTACCTTGTGGAGCTGATAGAAACACACCGTCGTCACCAATATCTATTGAGCACAGACACACAACATGTAGACAAAAAGTAAAGGAGTAAAGAGACTTATTAGGTAGTTGGAGACACTTTTGCTCAAAAATGACTTTTTGTCAAATCTTGACCAAACTTTGGTCGTAGACTGTTTACTATACAGCGGTAACATCAAAGTGCCAATCTTGAACATTGGATGCCTTTTTTGGCCCCGTTCCTAACCCACTTTTTCACGTTGCCGAACACTAATTGAGGCAGAGATCTGAAATTTGCTACTCAGAGGCACTCGTGTTTTAGAATGCAGGTAAATATGTTCTGTGGACTCTCACGATGTTGGAAGGTGAGTTTTAGGCGATTTCAAAACCGGTGAATATTTGGCGTATTTTCCATACAAACACATTTTTTTCGAATAGAATCTATTGTCAGATTTCCACATGATTCACACAATAGCTGGACAATGGACAGTAGAACAAAGCTACAGAAAATTAATCCAAAAATGTTATGCGGAAAATCAAACACCACACATTCCCTCTGGTTTGAAATGAACTTTCGTGCGGAACTGGGGTTCATGCGCCACAATTTAGAGATCGGGTAGGCACTGGAACAAATCGAGCAAAAGCGGATGTGCTCGTACGAGAAATTGTGGGTTTGAGCGCATGCTTTCAGAGCCGCGGTGATGGAGGCAAGTATTAGTTACTTAATGAAGGAAGCGAGCCGCGCAAGCACCCATAACCACAGTCACAGTGTACACTCTCTTGTTTATGCACTCTTGGTAACATATTTTACTACTCCCTGCTTCAAACTGATGGAATTAAAGAAGAAAAAGAAAAGACATTTCTTCCCATTTGTCTATGCTTTTTGCATACGCCAGTGAAGAAATACGGAGAAAACAGAATGGATTCACCTGACCCATGATGCTGACACATGGCGATCTTCTCGCCAGCTCGGGTCACTCCTTGGTGACAAGGAGGATTGTGAGCGACGAATGAGGTTAACTGCCTATTGTAAAATGTACACCCTGTGGGTCCGTCGAAACAAGAGAACCGGAGACTGCAACGGTATCGGGCCTATGTCAAGCCACATCTGCTGTACAACTGCGCGGCATGGGGCCTGACGCAAGCTGCATCTAGGGACTTGGATGTCTTTCATCGTAAACAATTACGGAACTTGATAGACGTGACATACCCCAACATCATCTCCAATGAGCAGCAGACTGCTGCTATACATGAGATGCACTGAGGAGCCGATATCCGCAACCGTGGAGAATGCCCGTTTGCGCATGCTTTGCCATGCTCTCCGTCTGCCGGGCGATGCGTGGATACTTCACCATTGGCCAACGCGGAAGGAGAGGGCGACCTCGAACCACACTGCCGGGTGTTCTGCACAGTGACGTGGCACGCAGGAATGTGCCAGGCCTTTCCACTCAGCACCACGTAGACGAGCCCTCCATGATGGCCCAGGATCGAGCAGCTTGGAGAGGATTTACTCAGGCGGCGTAGCGCGCGTGCAGACGTTCTTAGCCGATAAACAGCAGCGGAACCATGACTGTGTTGCACAGTAATATTATACTTATTGTACTAATGCATATTGTCTGCGATCCATCACATATTATTATTATTATTATTTATTTAAAACTCGGGTATTGAGCCAATAATAAAAGTAGAAAGGAAAAGGATATATGGAAACGAGTTAAGAGTAACTCTCCACCACTGTAACTAGATACTATATACAGTCAGAAAGTGCAACAACTAGGCACAAAACTGACAGAGTACTGAGACATTCGACGTCCTGACACCTAGCTTCAACACATCTCCGTAGCGCTAACCGACAGCCTTCCAACTTGGAAGGTTCAAGGTTATGCCCTATCCTACTCCACTTTTATGTTTATGTATCTATGTCATTCGGATCTTCCCAAGTTGTACAATGTACTGTTGAGATACCGAATTCAAATAAATCAATACCATACCAAAATACCATACCATGGAAAGACCAAAGAGGGGAAGGCAAGCGCAACGAAAACGAGCACAAGCTACAGTCCCAACGGAACAAAGAATGTCGATTGTCACTGGACGATGACGAGACCAGTAGGCGATTTGACAAAGCGGTCTAACTACAATTCGAAGCAGCAAAGCAGCACACCACCCAACTTGGGTGGGTCAAAAATATCAAAGATAAGTTAAGAAGGGGGAAGCTTTGCGAGAACGAATTGTACAAGCCGAAATCTAAACTCCTACAGTACTCCTCATGCATGACATTGTGATGGACTAGTTGACTACAAAACAAGTTGTTTCACACGACGTACGTTTCGCCGTATGGTTCGTGACGGCTCATCAGGTGTGCAATTTGAAACTCGTTCTTAACTTATCTTTGATATTTTTGACCCATCCAAGTTGGGTGGTGTGCTGCTTTGCTGCTTCGAATTGTAGTTAGACCGCTTTGTCAAATCGCCTACTGGTCTCGCCATCGTCCAGTGACAATCGACATTCTTTGTTCCGTTGGGACTGTAGCTTGTGCTCGTTTTCGTTGCGCTTGCCTTCCCCTCTTTGGTCTTTCCATAACCTTGAACCTTCCAAGTTGGAAGGCTGTCGGTTAGCGCTACGGAGATGTGTTGAAGCTAGGTGTCAGGACGTCGAATGTCTCAGTACTCTGTCAGTTTTGTGCCTAGTTGTTGCACTTTCTGACTGTATATAGTATCTAGTTACAGTGGTGGAGAGTTACTCTTAACTCGTTTCCATATATCCTTTTCCTTTCTACTATTATTTATTTACAATGTAGTGAAGAAATAATCACAAAAGAAGCAAAGAAGAAGCAAAGAAAAAGGAAAAAAAGGACCTATAAGTTACTAGTAGGGGTCAAACGGGTGTACCTTTAACTAACGAACGGGTAATTTTCTTAACGGGCGGGTTAACGGGTACCCTTTAGCAGTCATATTATTTTTTTGCGCATTTCTCACATAAATCATGATTTTAATTTGTATATTCTCAGGTTGTATTTTGATACTACATTATGATTCGCAAATGATTCGTTTATCATAATAATTATTATTATGGCAATGAAGGTTCCAAATGAATGTCATCCGTGCATTTGCCCATGTACATAACTTCACAGGCAGTAACTTACAATCGTACATATAGATGGTCCTACAAGCTACATGTATTTTGATACACTACGCAAATCAACTGCAGATCGATGTAATTCAAGCCATGCAAGGACAGAGTGGTTTAGCAAAACTTCCGTGATCTCGCGCAATCCTATTTGCTATGTTCGCAGAGAACTGGTACTCGTTGCATTCAGAAGATGTTCGCGCCCATAGCTAGCTGGAGCTGGGGTGCCTGACACAGCTGATGTGCTGCTGGCCAGCTAGCTGCTAGTGCTAGCTTGTTGAACTTGTGAAATGAATCTTCACAAATCCCGGTAATCTTGTATGCAATATTTCGAACTACTTTTCAGCTCGTCGATTGAAGGAACAAACTACAACCATGAGTATCATACATGTAGCTACCACCTACGGACATCACCGTTTGTGACGCTCCGACTGGTCACTCAGCCTGGTGACACTAGTTCATCAAGTACTGTGGCAGGTTCGATGTCGGAGAACCATCGTAACTTTCTAGTTACTCAGCTGCCACCTCGAACGAGTTTCAAGTCTTGCATTTTCTCACATCACAATCAAAAACCTCCAGTACGAGGATTTTTACTTGCACTAGAGTGGAGAGAACAACTGTCAAGTCTGTCTTTCAGCCTGCTCCTGCCTGATAAAGTCGAAAGCGGGAATGCACAGGAAAAAGGAAAAGAGTATCCGCACTCCTATTTTGAGTCCTGGAATACGATAGGATCACCTTTTTTTTTTTTTTTTTTTTTTTTACAAACGGGTACCCTTTTACTAACGGTACCTGAGATTAACGGGCGGGTACCCGGGTACCCGGTACACCCGTTTGACCCCTAGTTACTAGTTATGACTAACAGTCCACCAAGGTAACGAAATATACAGTCAGATAATATGACAACAAGGCACAAAACTGACAAGGATATTGAGACATTTCACGGCCTGAGACCGAGTTCGAACACATCTACAAAGCACAAACCAACAACCTTCCAACTTGGAAGGCTCAGGTGGGGAAAGTTCCAATGAGGGGAAGGGATGCGCCACGAAGATGTGCACGAGCTATGCCCCTCGGCAACAAAGAATGTCGAACGTTACGGTGCTTTGCGCCTTCGTAGATGTGTTAGAACTAGGTGTCAGGTCGTCGAATGTCTGAATATCCTTGTCAGTTTCGTGCCTTGTTGTCGCACTATCTGACTGTATATTATCTCATTACCTTGGTGGTCTGTTGGTCATAACTAGTAACTTAACCCTTTGCCGACGGCACATACTTTATCGATCACCGGTGATCACCGGTGATCGATAAATTCTACACATTTCAAATATTTTCAAACTATCGTAACTTGGGCAATTCTCAGTTGTTTGGAGAGAACGGAATATGTAGGGAGAAGAGAAAACTCTCAGCTGTCGTCTCGAACAATTTACGAAGCGATACGATGAACAGTGAGTTATTTACGGCGCGTGTAACGTTCGTCACGGTCAATTGGCGTTCAGGACCGTGAATGCGTGACTGAACAGCCGGGGTTTTCCCTGAACTAGTTGGCTGTTGGCAAGGCTACACTCATTCAAATTCGAACAGGGGTTCCCGCGAGTGCCTACAAAAAACTTTCAGCTACATACGAGTAAGGAAAGTGAAATGGCGGATGGAGATCGATCTAGAGCGCGAGCCCCTCGCTGAAACATCTTCGCTGGCTTGCAGCGCTGGTCCAGCGCATCTCGTGGACTCGAGTTTGGGCTCACCGTGTTCCTCTCGTCAGGGGCTTTCCAGGATGCCCAAGATTATGACAATTGTCCCAGGGAAACTTAAGTTATGTCCAATTCAACGTAAAGAATTTGAGGGCACAATTCTCCACATACATTGAGTTCAGTCCATAAAGGCCCTATTAAAGGGTTAAAGGTCCTTTTCTCACATAATCAGTGCTGCCAAACCGTCCGATTTTTCGGACAGTGTCCAATTTTTGAAGGCTCTTCCGAAAACCGGTCCGAAAAGCAGCCAAAATTATCAGGGATCAGTACTTTCCTATGCAGAAGTCCTGTATTTTCACTTTTCAGCGCAACTGAAGGCATAAATCACTGTACATGTACTACTAGTAGTGTAACTACAGTCATGTACATGTACACGTACCGGTACATGAAAAAGGGCTAGCGCTTGGCCGGCTGTGGAAGTGAAAACTACAAGTACTTGAGAGTTGAGTAACATACCTGGGTACATGACACTGTACAGACTCAGTGTGTGACCACACTCATGCATTCATTACAAAATTCATGAAAACTTCGGGGTGCCATATCGGTTACCATTGCAACGGAGCGATTTTTCATGGTATTTTGGGCGATATTTTGAATTCTCTGGACAAAATTGCCAAAGAGAAAAATTCGCACCATGTGGCCAGCCTTGGCGGTGACGGGTGTCCGATTTTGGGCGAAAAAACTTTGGCAGCACTGCATAATACTATTGGCTGAACATCCGAATTTTCGAAAAAGAAAGAAAGAAAACAAACGAGAGAGCTTGGGAAGCTCAGGGCCCTACGCTATGCTTTGTTTCCTAGCTCATCGTGCATGTTGTTAGAACTGATGGAAATGTTTTTTTCCTTTGATTAGCTACAACATTGTATTGCAAAAACGTTTCAATGAGTTACTGAAGTAACGTCTTCTGCATAGCTACGGGACTGGCGCTGACTCTGCCGATCACGGGCGTTCTGGAGTCGACGCGATGTCTGTCCTGACGTTTCCTGGGACCGGTGCTGACTCTGCCGGGCGTTCTGGAGTCGATGGGATGTCTGTCCTGACGTGTCCTGGGACCGGCGCTGACTCTGCCGATCACGGGCGTTCAGGAGTCGACGGGATCTCTCTTCCGACGTTTCCTCTGACCGGCGCTCACTCGCCCGTTCACGCTTATTTTGGAGACGACGGGATCTCTCTTCCAAAGTATGTTTTTGCTGACGCATCATATCACCTATTCGGCAACTAACGTCCATTCTAATTGCATTTCCTCCTTGTCTCCCTATTTCTTTCCAGAAAATCTCCCTGTACATCAGGGAGTCGTATACATAATTCGACGAATACGGTACGGGACAGATACGGGAGCCAGCAAATATTGTGGCCAGCTGTTTGTAGCCAGCTGTGTTTGATGGTGCGGTACGGTACGGGACAGATATGGGATAGCGCCAGGCGTGACACAAACAAACAAACACCAAATTAAAGCTGTGTGGACCCTGGCTAGCGCCAGACGTTACTGAAGTAACGTCTTCTGCATAGCTACGGGAATTAATATTGTCAAATGCTGGATTCGAACCCACAACCTCTGTAAAATGGACAAAATTAATTTTAACCTTTTCACGGGCTGTTAACCCTTTCAGTGCCAAGGAAGAGATAACTCGTCCTGAAACAACCACCCTGAATGGCCAAGGACGAGATAACTCGTCACGCACACGGAGCATATAGAAACAAGCATAGACCACTGTACAAACAGCTATAACTTCGGCCTCCCTACTTCAAATTCAACCAATGACAGCTCATTGGAAAGCTATTGAACGCAGCTTTCCAACGATGTATCATTCGATAAAGCGCGAAGTAAAATACTCAAGCACCGAAGCTCGAAGTTCAGAAAACGGGTGCAGTTGAAATTTCAAGCGTGTGACTGTGACACACTGCATGTTACAGTTGACAAGGTGTTTGATTACGGGGGATTTCCCCGGGGAACAGGGCATGCGTGACATACACCAAACTCAGCGCTAGAACAGCCTGATTCTGCTGGTGTTTGAATCGTCGCTGTACGTTGAGTATGAGCAGCAAATCGAAAGAAATTGTCGCTGAGTGTAGAATAGCAAAACAATGGCGTATTGGAGCAGCTTTAGAAGTGTTTGTAGGCCGTTCTCCTGCGCCTACAGAGCACTGAGCACCATGGATCGAGGGAGATCTTCAGCTTTCCAGAGAGCCTAAGATGATGAGAATCCGTTACTGGTGAGTGAAATGGCGATATTTTTAGTGCCCAGCGGGAATAGTGTGTGTAGTCCCCCCCCCCCCCCCCCCCCCCATCCAACGCTGCAGCGCAGCAAAATCGCCCCAGTGCTTGATTCACGACGAGAAACAAGATTCAACAGCCATTTCCCTCTCCTTGCTCACATCCAGCTCAATCTTTTGTGAGAAGTACTGCGAGTCCATGCTTTCATTTGAATCCATGTCTCTATGGCAACAACCAGCTACAAAGGGAAAACCCGTCCTCAAGACCCAGCTCACCCACTCAAATCGCAAATGAGCCGTGACGCAGATTGCTAGCTTCGTAGCATCGCAGCCGTTCACTCTATCGCTTCGGCGATTGTTCCTACGGATTGCCTGGAGCTTTCTCTTCAACCAAGGTAGTTAGATTTTCGAATTTGGCCAAAATTTGACTGACTTGCGATAGTTTGAAAAATCGATCACCGGTGATCGATTTTCAAATGTGAGACTGTGAACGTGTTAAAATTGTGCCATTCAATACAGACAGTCAGGCACAGCCCCTATAATTGACCATTATCACTCTATTGGTATTGACTGGCACAGTAACTTGTGATCTCTGAGCCCGTAAAATTCGTAGCAAAAATCCGGTTAGTGGCCAAATTTAGGCTGACCCACCCTCCCATTCCCCATTTCGGACACTATCATGTTTGCTTTTCAACCATGTTCTAACACTGTAAACAGTCGGATGGTGTGCCCCTAGGATAGATACACAGTCAAGTACACAGTGCTCTCGCAGAGAGGACGCGACAGAGAACAAAGCACAAGGTGGACAATTTGCATTTCTCTTTCGCCCCGCTAATGTTCTGTCTTTGGAGTCCGACTGCCAAGTCATCACCATTGCTTCTTCTGTGAAGCGCCAGGAGGTCAATAAACATGCAGGACTCCCTTCACGAAGTAGGACAGGCTGTGAACGCTGGGATTCAAAGCGATATGTTCCAAAGCTTACCAGTATTTTCAAGTACCGGTATTATCATTTGCTACGAGAACTTAGTCGTTGATGGAGAGGCTCTGGATTCCCATGATCAGGATACTACAGCAGCCAGGACTAGTACAGACTTTCGAATGTCTTAAAGCAGACGCAAAAGTAGAGAAGTTAGTTGAAATCGTAGCTGTTGCGGTATGCCGGTGCTACAAATGTAGCTTGTATTTGTACCGAAGGTCTATCGCCATGCAGATTTTTCTCTCTTTGCCAATTTGGCAAGGGCTGGCTGGCCTCCACACTCCACCAGGTTCTACTCAAATATCCACTGACTAGCTGGCGATGGTATCATTTCCATTGGCTTCAGCTCCGCAAGCGAAAGACTCCAACACAGCAAACTTTTAATGCAGCTGCTCTTCCTTGAAAAGTTGAGTGTGTTGATGCACAGTTCACAAACTATCCTACACAGCCCATGATGTATCTGGAACATAGGAAGACTGAGTCAAGCATACCACTACTTACCAGACATGTCTCCTGGTGCGTCAGAATGTTGCACATACAACTTAGATATCTGCTTGAAAAGGATGGATACGCCCTGATCTGCAGCAGCTACAAAACAAGAACAGGGTACCAAGAAAAGCCAAGTCAGAGTCATTGTGCGGTGGTCTGTCATGCATGTCGCTGCATTTAAAAATACCTTTGTAACAGCTGAAAAGGTGGCACACGCGGCCAAGTACCTCTAATGGCCCATGCAGCTAGGTCATGAGGGCAAGGTGAACCTGGACTTTCAAATGGGTACCCATAATGTCACTGACAGATTTTTCATGACTATTGCCGCAAAGAACGAGGATGGACTTTCGCATCCGTTTTTGTGCAAGCTTGCTGCACCTAATTGTCTCCGACCTATGTTGCTGACAAGTGTGTGTACTTTTAGTTGCCGTTTCACCTCTTGCGCTGCCTGGTACGCATCAGGTTTTAGTTCCATCATGTTCCACATCGTCAAATTTAGTTTGCTGCCGCGTTTGGCCAGCAAATCATACTGTGCATCAGCCTTGTCGCATAACCCCCCTACTGGACACAATGCCCACAAGCTTTTCGTCCAGCAAAGCCACTGATGCTGAAGACTTTTTGTTGAGATTTGGACTAAAGGAGGAGCAGCTACAGCACGATAAGACCATGCCTAGCATGATCCGAGATTTTTCCAATACAGTAAAACCTGTAACTAACGACCACCCCTTGGGGCCAGAGAAAGCGGTCTTTAGTGGCAGGTGGTCCTTAGTTAGAGGTTTGCACCACACAACCATGAATGTGAGATCGTCCGTGTCTGGCGAAGTGGTCTGTAGAACAAGGCTGGTCGCTAGTCACGGTGGTCTTTAGTTACAGGTTTTACTGTAGTACAAGGCTGGTCGCTAGTCACGGTGGTCTGTAGTACAAGGCTGGTCGCTAGTCACGGTGGTCTTTAGTTACAGGTTTTACTGTACATTGGTCCTCAAACTAATGAGGTTCAAAGCTGACCACCACCAGCCACCAGGATCATAAAACATGTGTAGATGGATAGCCCAACTATGTGTCCACCAGTCATTATTGCCACTGCTGAAACTGGAGAGATTGACTTGCATACTTATACTGTATTTGCCGGAGTATAGTGATTGACTTGCATACTTATACTGTATTTGCCGGAGTATAGTGATTGACTTGCATACTTATACTGTATTTGCCGGAGTATAGTGATTGACTTGCATACTTATACTGTATTTGCCGGAGTATAGTGATTGACTTGCATACTTATACTGTATTTGCCGGAGTATAGTGATTGACTTGCATACTTATACTGTATTTGCCGGAGTATAGTGATTGACTTGCATACTTATACTGTATTTGCCGGAGTATAGTGATTGACTTGCATACTTATACTGTATTTGCCGGAGTATAGTGATTGACTTGCATACTTATACTGTATTTGCCGGAGTATAGTGATTGACTTGCATACTTATACTGTATTTGCCGAAGTATAGTGATTGACTTGCATACTTATACCGTATTTGCCGGAGTATAGTGATTGACTTGCATACTTATACCGTATTTGCCGGAGTATAGTGATTGACTTGCATAGTTATATCGTATTTGCCGGAGAATAGTGCTGCGCACTTTAGATGTACTAGTTCAGGCCCCAAATCGCAGTTGCGCACTGTGCTCCGAATATGGAAATGAATGTACAGTTATAAATTCATTCCCAACTCATCACAACCACGCGCTCTTCAGCCGAACCATACAGACACCAGCAAGGACACTTCCGTTGAGAGATAATATTGCTCCACGCCTCTAGACAGCTGGTTCGCTCCCTGTCGGAGCTCATCAGTAGAGGATAATAATGATGATAATGGAGGAATGATCATTCTTATACACCAGAAATGGCGCAAATGCGCGCTTTCCACATAATTATTATACTACTACTACTATACTCTACTGATGAGCTCCGACAGGGAGCGAAACAGCTGTCTAGAGGCGTGGAGCAATATTATCTCTCAACGGAAGTGTCCTTGCTGGTGTCTGTATGGTTCGGCTGAAGAGCGCGTGGTTGTGATGAGTTGGGAATGAATTGAAAATATGGCCGAAAGCTCTGTCGCAATATTTAGTTCTGAAATGTACAGTTATGGTGAAAAAAAGGAGAAGGACAAAATGTTACGAGTTATGACTAACTGTCCACCACCCCCTCCTTGTCAGTTTTGTGCCATTTTGTCGCACTCGCTGACTGTATAAGATCTGGTTACGTTGGTGGACAGTTAGTCATAACTCGTAACAGTTTGTCCTTCTCCTTTTTTTCACCATAATTTAATTGGCTCACCATCCGAGTTGAATGTACAGTTGAACATCGATTATCCGACCACCTCTGGGCAGCGGATCCTGGGAAGGTGTTCGGGTAATGAAAAGGTTCTGGATAAGGAAAATGTCACCACAGGCCGATACCTGTGTTCGGTACCCGCAACAACAGTCGTTTTCACGTTAGTTTTTGTGAGTTTTGTAAGTTTTGACTGTACAGCCTGTACATAGTGGTACAGTAAGTATCGTTTATAAAGTGACCGGATATAATGATATACCGGTTATAGTGATAGAACACGTCAAAATCAAAATCAAATCAGAAAAAATACAGCTAAAATATCACTATATACACTATTATCGCCTTCTTAGTATTTGACCCCACTAATTTCCCTGATACCTAAGCGGTCAAATATATCGCGTATTTGACTGCTTAGTCAAATACACGATATATTTGACTACTTATATTTGACTCCTTAGGGGCCGTCCGGGGTAACCGATTGTTTTTACAAAACGAAAAGTTTTAGTATTTTTCAGCCCCCACCCACCCACCCACCTTTTCTGCAGGTAAAACGAATTCCAATAAAATATTGATGCCAATTTTCGACATCCAGAAGTAACTCGGCATTCTCCATCAGCATTCAATAATTATTTTCAAAACGAAACTCCATCAAACCCACCCACCCACAAACGAAAACATTTCGTTTTGAAAATATTATTGGTAACCTTGGACGGCCCCTTAGAACTTCTTGGACTTAGAAATTTTCTCTCCAACTTAGAAAAAGAAATTTTTGAAGAAAGCAGAAATACACAAGATGGGATTTGAACCCACAACCTTGTGAATCTCAGTCACTCTTCCTTGCCACCCAGCCACTGTGCTACCGATGCTGAACCCAGTTCAAACAATGATCTTGACTTTCAATGCAGTACAATGCAGTATAGGCTATAGTATAATACTAGAATTACAAGGATATGTCGTATATGAAGAGAAACTATTGCGTGGAGAACACGATAAATAGATTATAGACCTCATAGTTGGTCTATACAGGATATATAGACCTCGTAAAAGACCTCGGGGGACCTCGGTCTTTTACTCGGTCTATATATCCTGTATAGACCTCGGTCTATAATCTATACTTATCGGCTATACCGATATATCGCTTATTGTGATGGACTTCAGGAAGCAAACCATATCAAATGTACAGGAAAATATCGCATATAATGATCAAGAGTGATGATCACAAAACAATTGTTTTTTTGGACGTACTCATGATCTCTTTTTGCACCAAACCATTATTTTACCTGCACACACATGTCCGTTTCTGGCTGTGCTACCCCTCGCAATGTGCTCCCTTTGACTTTGTCTCTTGTCCGTTTCTGTATGCACATGTCCTTTTCTGGCTGCGCTACCCCTCGCTCCCTTTGTATGGTATTGTCCTTTTCTGTATCTTTCTGCACGCTTTTTGTCCGTTTCTGGCTGTGTTGCCTCTCACGATGATGTTGCCAACTCACGTACACAGCCACTCATGTCTATTTCTGGCTCTACGCAACTCGTTGGACACCGAGTACGCGAGTACGGATCCAGCTCAGGCTTTTTTTTTGGAGAACACGCTGAAGAAGCAGCCATGCCACATGATGACTTGTATCGAAGTAATAGTACATGATTGTACAGTCTGTACTCGTACTGCACTGCCATGCACTGCTCTGTGTCATGCACCGGTACTCAGTCCGCGGAGCATGCATGCACTTTCAGCATGCTTTTTCCAGCGTGTACGCATCATTTCATGTGCAGTCATGTGCCATGTGTCGGTCAAACATGCAAATCGGCTATAGTGATGCACCGGATATAGTGATAAATTTTCGAAAATCAAAGGGGCACGTTATATCCGATATTTACTGTACGGGCAGCGAGTGAGCGCTGCAGCAACTAACTCTTCATGCAAGCTCCCGTACGAAAATGCGTAGCCTGAGCCACGTGCGGTTCGAAAACCCATTCCGGATAATCGAATGGTCGGATGATTGGATAATCGATGTTCAACTGTACTTCGAAAAGTAGTGCAATGTGTGCATTTCTACTAAATTTCTAGTGCATACTGCCAGCTACACTGCGAATGCATGATGGGTGCGAGACCCCGTCGGTAGTATGTGAATTATACAAATGTGAAATGGTCGCAATCGTACTGTCTATAATAATTAGAGAGGTTCCGCACTACATAACGTTGAGCAACTTTACGTTAGTGGGCGGGAAAACCCCGTGAATTCGCGAGTTTGCACCCCACTTACGGAAAGTTGTCTACGTAGAGTACGTAGATAGGGCTCTGATAACGTAGGTGCTCCGTAAGTGGATTAGGGTACAAATTTATGACTCTCTCCCCAGGTCGACCCGGTCGTACACTGCCGGGTTCGGAGTTGCCAGGGGCAACTACGTGATTTGAAAACTCTGCATGGCGGAACACAGATCCGCATGCAGTGTACGTAAGACTCTCCGTAGATCGACTACATTTTTTACTGAAGTAATTACAATATGCGGAACCTCTCTATTATGATCAATAATGCTCTCAATCGTGGCCCGCATTATACTCCGGATACACCTTGAATTGCCAAAATGTTGCTCAAAAGAGAGGGTGCGCATTATACTCAGGTGTGCGTTATACTCCGGAAAATACAGTACTTTGGTATTCCCAGACATGCTCTCTTGTACAACTTTATCAGCAGATGTTCTCGGAGAGAAGGTGCATTTCATTTGAAGGTCAGTGAATTGTCAAATTTCAATGTGGTCAAAAAGGAACATCTTACCAATTGATGACAAAAACGACAGTATGCCAGGGCTGCAGGTTGACCAGATGTGTACTAAGAGTAAGAACTGGCGCAATTTCAGCAACATCGTCAAACTGACAGTGACATTTCCAAGACACTGGGAAAGCAACACACAATCAGAACAGAACTAATAAGCAGTGCTGAAACGATTATATCGATTACTTGTTTCTAACTCGATAAGAAATAGATCGAGCGGTTATTGATTTTATCGGCTAAACGAGTAGAATGGTACTTACGCTCGGTACGGGATTTCCCCCCTTTTGGGGTCGCACAAAGTGTGCATGCACCGAATGACTATGTGTTGCGAGTACGACATGAATATGTACACGACTGTACACTTGCAACATTGATGTAAGTGTAAAAGTACAAGCGCAATCTGAGAAACATCGACGCGATCACTGTCGCCGGCCGTCTTTTCAGCTGACTACCGTATTTTCCGGAGTAAAGTGCGCACCTTTGTATAACGCGCACCCCCAATCTTCATTGGGGGTGCGCACTTCAATCTTCATTGAAGTACATGCATTTCAAATTCGGAGCATAGTGCGCACCTGCGATTTAGGGACGGGATATGCTAAGTAGAAGATTGTTTCCACTGTATCTCTACAACACAACGGGATATGCTAGGTAGAAGTATCTCTACAACACAACGGGATATGCTAGGTAGACGTATCTCTACAACACAATGGGATATGCTAGGTAGAAGTATCTCTACAACACAACGGGATATGCTAGGTAGACGTATCTCTACAACACAACGGGATATGCTAGGTAGAAGTATCTCTACAACACAACGGGGGATATGCTAGGTAGAAGATCATCATCAACTGCACACAAGCACACCCGTCACCCAGTACAGTGCTGCAGTGTGTGGGCCAGCGAACTAGGAACAGAGTCCTTCACCATAAAGTAGAGTTAGTTTCACATAGCTCTAAGCTATCACTCACTCGGAGCCTGGCAAAGCAATCGACAAATCCTCCTATTCCCCAAACTGGTGCTTGTTGTGTGAGTGCGGCATGCAGATGCTTGTGTTAACTGCTAGTAAGTGTTTGCAATAAAGCTTGTTGGCACTGAAAGGGTTAACTATACCTTGGCAGCACTCAGGGGACTGTACTCTGGTTGAGTAAGACACAACGTGTAGATGAGGATACCGTGGATGATAGGTTGAACTGACGACAGAATATCTACGCAAAAACAAAAACAAGAAGAGTGAAAAGGCATGATACACACGCACATGCACATGGGTGAGCGCGTTCGGAAGTTTGAAATAGGTTCGGCTCCACAATCCAGTGAGTTGTAACTGGATGAGCTGAGTCAAGCTAAAAAGTGGCACAGTGTTTTTCCAACAAATTGAGAAAATATAATGAGGATGATGGGCACGTCAGCTTGGCAGCTTGCGGTTCGCCATTGATTATACCTCCGCCCCACTGCCTTCCCCATTACCTACGGCCGCTGAGTTATGAGTTCATGAAGTATTTGCCTTGTGCAGTGGCAATTCTAAGATGTGCATGTGTGTGTGTGTGTGTGTGTGTGTGTGTGCGCGCGCGTGTGTGTGCGTGTGTGTGTGTGTATGTGCGTGCGTGTGCTTGAGCGTGGGCGCGCGCGCAGGGGGGGGGGGGGAGGAAACAACCTGCGTGCCAGTCCTTGCCAAGGACATCGTTCATTTTCTATCCAGTGTGTGGAATTCAAGGGAGAATAGGCTAGTGGTGTTTTATTAAGCACTGGGTGTTCAATGGCAAAACGGGATTCACCCATGGAGGTGTTGTGATCAGCAAACCACCAAGTCTGTAGTGGCAAATACGAATAGGCGACTCGCAGACAAGATCTTTAATATAGCAATAAGCAGAATAAGCAAGGCCGACATTGTATGTAGCAATAACAATAACAATAATAATGAGTCCTAGCATTTCCTGTCCGATTTTCATGAGACTTTCATCAGGAAATATGTGTTAACACAAGCATCTGCATGCCGCACTCACACAACGAGCAACCAGTTTGGGGAATATGAGGGTTTGTCAATTGCTTTGCCAGGCTCCGAGTGAGTGACAGCTTAGAGCTGTGTGAATGCGTGTGTATGGCAGCTGGGCAGGGCCCTGCTGCGGAGGCTGAGTGAGCCGTATGGAGGCAGCCGGGCAGGGCCCGGCTGCGGAGGCTGAGTGAGCCGTATTGAGAGGCTGAATGAGCCGAGGCTGAGTGAGCCGTCTGAGTGTGAGAGGCTGAATGAGCCGTATGAGGAGCCTGGTAAGCAAGGTTGACTCCCCTCCATGTATTTACAGAGTTTCGCCGGTAGACGGCATCGGTGTAGTTATTGTAGGCCGGTATGATAATGGATACCGACAGGAGAGAACTAGAATAGGAAACATGATGATGACAATAGTGAGGTTCTGCCACACGGTAAAACGTGCCAAATTACGTATGGAAACTTCGCCGCGGTACGGGATCAAGTTTCATACGGATTTTTTCATACCGTTTTCCGGACTGGACTCCGTGTGAAAACTGAGCGTACAGAGTACATGTGGTGGGGTGTTCGTGCATGCTACGAGCATGCTACGTACAGCAGAACCGGTGCAACGTACGAAAAATCCGTGTCAAACTTCGCTGCAGTTGACACGGAGTTTGGTACGTAGGTCCGTGTAGCAGAACCTCTCTAATAGTGGAGTGGGTGGGTGGGTTGAGAAAGAAATCCACTGCCAATGCGGACAAAGCAAGAACTGAAGTCAGGAACAGTGGACTTCGGAGAACAGTGAGCGCGTGAGAGTTTGTTGGGAACAGAGCATGCGCCTTCTGTGTTAACATATTTTTGCGCGTGCGCAAAAATCATTTAACACAAGCATCTGCATGCCGCACTCACACAACGAGCAACCAGTTTGGGGAATAGGAGGGTTTGTCAATTGCTTTGCCAGGCTCCGAGTGAGTGACAGCTTAGAGCTGTGTGAATGTGTGTGTATGGCAGCTGGGCAGGGCCTGCTGCGGAGGCTGAGTGAGCCGTATGGAGGCAGAGTGAGCCGTATTGAGAGGCTGAGTGAGCCGAGGCTGAGTGAGCCGTCTGAGTGTGAGAGGCTGAATGAGCCGTATGAGGAGCCTGGTAAGCAAGGTTGACTCCCCAAATAGAGAACCTCCTATTCACTGTTAACTGTAGAGGGGGTGCCACAGATTGTGGACAATAGTAGAGTGATATTGAGTTACTGAGTGTACAGTCGGTACATAGGTGACATTTGGTTATGCTCTGGCACCCACAATAAGTGGGCTCAGTCTGTCTGATCAGCATTACCCAGGACCGGTGCTGCCAGCTTTCATGGCAGTTTGCATGTGGACTTCCGTCACTCGGCAGTGCAAGGCACGGCCGAAGTCTCCCCAGGAATGGACGGAAGAGCACGCACGGGAGTGGGCATGTGAGCGGCGGTAGGGTGGCACGAATGGAATCGCTTGAAATCTTGCCTGGAGAGAGCGTCAGCAAGGATGTTGGTAGTTCCAGGTATGTGACGGGCGGTGACCATAAAGTTACCCTTGGCGCAGATGAAGAAGAGCTGCCGTAGGAGTGACATCACATTAGGGCAGCGACTGGTGCCAGACTTGAGAACAGCGACGACAGCTTCGTTGTCGGTATGGAAGCGGATACGCTTGCGACACCACTGGTGGCCCCACGTAGCACATGCAATGCAGATGGGATACAGCTCCTTGAACGTAATGCAGAGCGGAGTGTTTTGTGGTGACCAGGTGTCGGCGAACCAATGCGTGCCGTAAACTGCGCCATGCCCAATGGCGCCAGATGCGTCAGTTTCTATCAGGATGTCGCTGGCCAGCGTCTCCTGGAGATTGAGGAAGAATGACTTGCCATTCCAGCCATCGAGTAGGTGAGACCACCAAAGAAGGTCCAGATGACATTCTAGAGAGAGACGGATGCGGTGGTAGGGCTTGGAAACGTTGCGCGTGGCATCATACAGTCGGCGCATGAATGTACGGCCCGGCGTGATGACGCGGCTGGCAAAGTTCAGCTTGCCCAACAGCTGTTCAAGCTCCCGTATGTCGTCAACCTTGTCCTGTGGGAGACGAGCCACTGTCTGGACGGAGTCCAGTTCGATGCCCAGGAAGGTGAGACAGGAGGTTGGGCCGACTGTCTTTTCGTCGGCAATGGGAACTCCCAGGTAGCGGAATACGGAGAGGACTACGTTCAGACGCTGCGCACATAGCGTTGAGTTTGCAGGGCCACAGAGCAAGAAGTCGTCCAGAAGGTGCAGGAGGTGGGGAACCTGGAACAGTTCACAGCTTATCTGGCAAAGTGCGTCCGCAATGCAGTTAAACAAGTAGGGTGCGGACCTCAGCCCAAATGGCAGTACTTTGTCATAGTAGAATTGGCCCTGCCACTGGAAACCCAACAAATGGTATGCAGTGGGTGCGACCGGGACCAGTCGAAATGCATTGCGTATGTCGAGCTTCGCCATCAAGGCACCGGTACCTTGACGTTGCAGAAGCTCAATGGCATTGTCCACTGTGACATGATGTAGGGAGAACGAATCCTTGTTTATTCCATCATTGACAGACATACGGTCAGGGTAAGACAGGTGGTGAATGAGGCGGAATTTCCCGTTGTTCTTGGGCACTACGCCGAGCGGAGAGCATACAAATGGGTGGAAAGGCTGGACAGAGAAAGGACCGGCCGATTCGTCACGTCGGACCCGGTCAGCAATTTGTCGTTGTACAAACTGAGCATGTTCAATGGCAGTTGGGAGGTTGCCAGAGATGATAGGTACAGAAGCACCAGAGTGGCCAATGGGGAACCCGTGTTGCAAGCCATTAAGGATAAAGTCAGAGAGGACACGATTAGAAATACGAGGCAAAAGAGTCATTAGGCGGGCTATGTACAGAGGCGTGGGGAGACTACTTCGCTGCGACGGGCTTGTCCGTCTGGCGGGGTCCCCGGCGACCGTCGTTGGTGCAGCGAGCGGCGGGATGACCTCGGTCGCCGCAGGTTGAGCAGACGTGCAAGCGTTCACAGGGCTGGTGTTGGCATGGGCGGCCACGGTTGAAGTTGAGGCAATCTGGCGGGTGCTGCCCGCCCCGGCCAGAAATGGCTGCGTAGGACGGCTGGTGTTGGTGCCAGCTGGAGCATGTGGCCCTGCCAAATACTGTGGGCAACGGTCACGGCTGTGGTGCGTTGTGCAGCGCGGACATGATGGTCGGGGTGCCCGGATCAGGTGCAGGCTCCAGAGGCTTTGGTCGATTGCGTCCCAACGAGCCGAGGTTGTTGCCACCGCTGCACGGAAGGCACGGTCATACCCCAGTACAGCTGGGGTCGCAAACTGCTGGTTTGCAGTACAGATAATGATTATGTGCTGGTACGTCACCAGCTCCAGTGCTCGGAATGGCACATGTTTCAGTGCGCAGGCCATGTAGATTGTGTAGGCTTCCAGCCAGGCAGTGAAGTCGACAATGGAGCGCTTCTTAGTCACACATAAATTGAGGGACACACGCCGGCCCTCGCCGTTGGCGGTACTGAGCTCCAAGGGCTCGGACCCTGCGCCCACATTCTCTGGGAGGAGATCCTCCAGCTCAATATATTCGCCGCGTGTGATTTTGTCAAGCAACTTACGCGGGACCGTGGGAACAATAGAGCTGGACTCACGAGTGTTCGCCATGGGCGCTGCGATCGGAGGCAGCGCGGGTTGCATGAGGGAAATGTCCATGGGGCCGGAGTCGACCTGCGGCGGGTGATGGGTGACGGTGTTGGACGCGGTTTGGACCACATCTGCCACTGAGGGGACCGCCGCCTGAGCATGGCCGTCCGGATCCTGGCGAGCTGAAATTCGCTCCTCAAGGCGCTCGACTCGAGCCAGCAGGGGGTGCAGGGCCGTCGACACGGCCGCCGTAACGGAACGTGGATTTAGGCCAGTTGTGAGTAAGCTGGCCGGCTGGGGAACGGCGGACGGGATATCGTCCTGCTCCGCACGGGCATTGCCGGAACGATCGGCCGCATGGTCCGCAGGGGCTCGATTTGGAGTGTCGGCATACGGGGACGACGAGGCGCGCCTGCGACTGGAACGCCTGGGCCCGGGAGCCGACTGCTTACGTGCACGGGGCATCTCCGTGAGCTGTGGTAAACCTTGAGATTGAGGTTGAGAAGGAAATCCACTGCCAATGCGGACAAAGCAAGAACTGAAGTCAGGAACAGTGGACTTCGGAGAACAGTGAGCGCGTGAGAGTTTGTTGGGAACAGAGCATGCGCCTTCTGTGTTAACATATTTTTGCGCGTGCGCAAAAAATCATTT